ACATACGTGAACACATGCATACATACACACAGAATTTGAAATCTCAAACACTTCTGCTCCCCAGCATCTCAGATATAAGGGACATTCAACCTGTGGTACCTACTTTGCATTTCAAGTGTTGCATGAAATGGTACAAGGCACATAGTGGGCATCACACAGATGTTGCTATTGCTTATCATTAACATGTCAGCCACAATGCCATGCCTGGGCAGCATGAGGCAGGAACAGAAGAGATCCATCAGCTCCCTCCACACCCTTTCTGAGGCCCAGATGTGTCCGCGTCTTCCTGCTTAACCTGTGCATAACCAGGATGTAGCTATTTGGGGGCAGGCATCAGGGCCTCTCTGGTTAGAGGTGGCCACAGACAGATAGTGTTTGTGACAAAAATGTGACTCTCTACCCCCAACCCCTGCCTGGCATCTGGTTTCTTTGCTCTGTGCATCTCCTAACACAGCACTGGCCTTTGCCAGCAAGTTCCAGGCTCTCTCCATGGGTATCAAGTCCCACCTATGCTTGGAAAAGTGCTCCAGAGGTGGGGTGGGTACAGAAAGCCCTCTGCCTCATAGGCCCATGTGCCCAAGGTAACTCACACCCAGGTCTCACCTCACTGTCACCAGAGTTCTCCCAATCCTGTCTGGCCAGTCCCTCTACAAGTTCCTCTGAGCTATGGCTGTTGTCCTCTGGAGCCAATGCACAGCATGAGCGGGAGCAGGGCCAAGTGCAAACTGTCACCTCTTCCAGGAGAGACAGCAAGGCTCTTCCCCAACAGGGGACACCAGTGGCTATTCTGAGCATAGCCTTCCGTGGGCCTGGCTACTGGTGCCTGCTCCCACCAGCTCCCTATTGTCCACACAGCCATACCCTGCTTCTTCCTGGGAAACCTGCTCCCAGAGAAGCCAGTATGTCCACCTGCTGTCAACCTCTTAGATTCAAAGCTATCCATAACATCATACAATTGTGCAGTTTTCTCTGCAGGGAAAATTCTGCAATGTTCACAGACAAAATGTAAGTGTTAGGATGGGTCTGTATTGGTAGGGCCTGGGATCTGGGTCACCCATTTACAGGTGTTTTTGTGCCTGCTGGGAGCCCTGCAGACCTTGTGCTGAGCTGCAGGGTCCCATCCTCTGAGGGACACTCACGTCTTCCTTGGCTCTTCCTGTTCCTCATGGCTCCCCACCCCATCTGATAGAGAGAGGAAAGGGGAAACTGACAGTCCTCTGAGCACTCACATACCCTTCTGGCCCTCTCTAGCCCAACTGCTGTCTCCCACCCACCCTGTACCCCTCTTCACCCAGAAGCTGTTCTTGAACCCAGAGTGTTGGCACCCGAAGGCACTTGCTATGACTATCATCCACCTCCCCAGCCTTCCCTGACACCAGAACATTGCCCAACCTCACCCCTCCCTCTAAAGCCAGGCTTAGGGGTCCAACTACAGAGGTGATGTGGAGCCTTGATATTCCAGGGGAACTCTGAGCCATGCAGTGCAGGAGGCAGGAGCCTGGGAGCAAATACAGGCTGCAACAGGGACCCAGGCAGGATATGCTCGCCTCTTCTAGGGTGGCCAGGGGCCTGAGGATGCACCTCCCAGGCCTGGGCATTATAGCTGAATGTCCCAAAAAGAGTTGATCACCAGGTAACAATCAGTTGAGGACAAAGGGTGGCTATCCCAGGCTGAAGGCACAGTTTGGGTCTCTGTCCAGAATTGTTAGTCTCTGCCAGGAGTGGGCTAGAATGGGAATTCCCTCTCCTAGTGGCATTTTGCACTGGTACATCATAGGTTTGGGGGTGGCTCTACTATGAGCTCCCAGTACATGGGCTAGCTTTGCTTATTACCTTATTTCTATTAGAAGGATCTGTCTGAGCTGGGAAAGGCTTTATTACTAACATAGAAGACAGGCCTGGGTCCCAGCTCTGTGTTGGGGGTGGAGCTTCCCTAAGGGTATCCTGCTGTATGTGGTTTTCCCTTCTACCCACCTCCTGCACTTTTTCTTTTGAAGTCTTCAGGGGGGACTTCCCACTTTGGAGCTATTCAGACAGAAATGGAAATGAAACCCTTGAAGGGGTTCCTGTTCCCGAGGGAAGGAAGCTGGCTGGGTGTTGTGTCCCTAGAGCCTGCCTTCCTATCCACGGGGTTAGTGCCAGACTGCTTTGACACTCAGCCCTGATGGACCCATGACTGCAGCCTGTAGCCAAGCCTGCACCTGGGCTGTATCTTCCTGAGCCACAGTGGTGATGGCAGTAGACAGCATTGTGGTGGCCTCTTGGCTTTCCATGAGCCTTGCATCTGCCAAGGCTACATTTTCCTAGAAGACCTGCACATAGCCAGGCCATGTTGGAGACTACCAACTCCCCGGGGTACATAGATGGGCAGCCCCTTGGGCCTGGCATATGGGGAAACCCAGGGCTTATGGAAAATCTCAGGAGGCAGTGGTTTGGGCCTCTGGAAGATCTCTGGGCCTGGCAAGTGTGTGGCTAAGCCAGGGGCGTCATACTGGGGAGAAACACAGCCACTTGCGTGTCATGACTGGCTGGGGTGTGCTCACTCAACAGTGTCTTGTGCATGGTAGGTGAACAGACTCAAGTCTCAATTTGGCACAGGAGCTTGGGCAAATTTCTGCATAACTCTAAGCCTGTTTCCTGGACATCCCAGGAGCAGGAAGGCTGCAGGGGTAGAGGGGGCTGCATGTGGGGTTATGAAGAGGATGGGGTAAAAACACCTACAGAATTTTGTACAGGTCATGGACCTGAGAAGAGAGGCTGAGCCCCTAGTCTCCCTGGCCTAGAACCCACTGTAGGGGGCACTGGGGAAGTGGTATAAAGCCAGGGCATCAGGGAAGTGTGGATATAAAAGGGAACTATTACTCTCACCTTTCTAGAATCACGAATAAAAACGAAACCTTGTTCATCTGTGGAACATACTGTTTTTATAGACATTAATTAATTCCTGAAATGCCTTTGTGAGTTTAACAGTTGGCAGCTGACAGGTGAGGAGCAGAGGGGAGAAAGAGGCTCTGTGCTCGGTGGGACAGGCCCTAGCTCATGCCCCATCCCCCATCTTTGCTCCAGAGGCTGAGGGACTGGGGGCTACATGCTGGACTTGTTGCTAGTTTGCCCTGGCCAGCAGGGTACAGGCCAGGGAGGTAGCATGAAGATCATTCAGTGGCTGGAGGACAGTTCCTGACAGGCTGGTCACACTCCCTGCCCTGAGGTATGCCAGGCATGTCCCTGTGGGCTGGCCTTAGCTGATTACGGGTCACTGGCTGAGCCCAAAGTGGTTTGTGGCAGTGCCCACAGCATCAGAACGTGACTGTCCCACATCCCCCAAGGCGCGTCCACCAACTTTTTCTGGTTCAGGCAGAAAGGGAACAGTTGGTGTGTGTGTGGCAGACATTCTTTTGAACCATATCTAGGGAACCTATAAGGGTTTGAGGGGCCGTAGGAAGGAGATGGGCTTCTTCAGACAATATGACCCCACTGTCCACAGAGAAATGAAGCTGATCAAGGCCACCATGGAGAGCATGTGGGTCCCAAGCAATGGCAGAGGCACAGACCGAACCTGTCTTGGTTTCCAGAATAGCCTGCCTTGAGACCCAGCTCCCCCTACCCCCCCATGCCCAGAACTGCCTGGGGGCTCTTTCAGCACTTCAGTTAGGGAAGTTAATTCATGCCCCTGGTAGTGGTGAAACCTGGAAGAGTTCCTTTCTTTATAGGAGCTTGCTGCTTTGCTTACAGAAACTTCCACTGTGATTTGAGGGCATGTTTGGGTCATGTGTTGGAACAGGTTGCTTTATGGGTCATCTAGGGACCCTGAGTACGGGTTTGATTCTGTGAAGTTGCTGTCTCAGAACTCTCATGACTATCTTAGAGTCTGTGTCTTGAGAGGGAAGTCAGTGGGACGCTGAGCCTTGGCTCCCAAGTTCTGCCACCGGCCATCACTGGTCTCCCATGTGTGACTCATATACCCCACCATTATCTGTCTCTGATGGAGCCTGGACACACCTGCACACCCCATGACATCTCAGGGAAGAGCATGGGTGCTTGGAATTAGGAGTTGAAAGCTGAGAACTCTCTCCCAGTTTTCAGCACCAAAATGTTAAGAATTAAGAGCTTTAAGCAGAGAGCTCTCTTCCTATAAATGTTAGGATTAGGAATTGTAAGAGTCGCAGATAGAAAAGCAAAGCAACCAACTTCATGCAATCCACTCCAACCTTTATTAGTTAATAAGAAGTAACTACTGACCAGTGGAAGTCTGCAGTAGCCACACTGGCCAAACAGTAGAGAGCTTAAGTACTGTTGTGCATTAGTCACAGGAGTTAGGTAGAGGATCTAGGGCCTGCATTCTTCCCCATAAGGGTCTCAGAAAATCTTGTTTGCAGAACTTTATGGTTGGAGTTTATGAAGGTCCTGAATGGGCTTGTTTGCAAAGCAAGATTTGTTTTATGGTTTAAGGCTAATGGAGGTCTCCCTTCAATGATGACAGGTAGCCACAACCCTGCCCCCAGCCAGGCTCCTCTTACATCCTGGCCCAAGAGGTACAATGCTCCTGGGGTCACTGTCCCCCTTGGATAGGGACAGCCAGTCCCTGGGAACACACCCCCAGCTGCATGTCACCACATTGCTTCAGCTGCTGCCTGAAGGGAAACCCAGCAGTCATACAGGGACCCCTGTGTGCATATGAGGGGCTGCACCCATCCCTTGAGTTCCCTCACACCCAAAAAGAACAGTGACACCCAGCAAACAGAAAACACCATGGCAGATGGGGAGAGATTGTGGCTGGAAGGAAAACACTGATACTTTTGTGTCTTCGTGAACACCTTTCCCCTGGTTTCTGCACCAGGGGCCTCTATTTTCAATGTGCCCTGAGTCTCTCAGAGGAGACAGCTGGGCCCATCGGATGGCCACATCATGAAATTCTGAAGTCTTTGCCTCACAGCCTTTGCCTGAGCTCCAATCCCAAGTCCCTTGCTGAGTAGACACTCATCTCTTTACTTCCCCCACAGGTATCGTGTTGGCTGTGTGTCAGGCTTTGGAGAACAGCACATCTCCCCTGAGCGGTAAGTCTAGCCTCCATGGGTGTGGATGGGGTGCAGGTCCTGCCTCTCACTTGGAGTACTCCTTCCCTGGGACACCTGCCTGTCCCTCAGCCCTGCATCCTCCCTGGGTGCCAAGGAAATGCCACTGGAAAGTCTTCACTGTGGGCCTGAGGGTGCTATGCACATGCCCTCAGGGGGCTGCATTGTTCCCTTCACCGGTGCAGGGGCCCAGTGTGGGCAGGTGGGCTGGGAAATGACGCCTACCGGACCCCAGTGCTTGAGGGGACCCCAGAGCTTTAGGATATCTACACTTTACCAGCTCATGTAATGATCAGATTCCCAAAGCCCCTGTCCACTTCTGCCTGGAGATCTTTGCTTGGTTATTATATATTCTGGTTCATGGTTTGCTATTGGGAGCAGTGGGTTTTTTTCTTTTTCTTTCTTTCTTTCTTTCTTTCTTTCTTTCTTTCTTTCTTCAGGCAGCCAGTTCTCTTTTTAACTTTAAAAAAATATTTATTGAGAATTTCATACATGCATATAAGGTGTTTCAATCAAATCCATGTCCACTCCCTCTCCTCCAACTCCCGCTGTATCTCCCCAACACTTTTTTCTGACAACTTCTTTCTTTCTTTCTTTCTTTCTTTCTTTGGGGATCTTGGCCTATCTTAAAAGTCCTAAATCAGCACTTCTGAGAGTTGGGAGGTGGGAGACAAAGCCCTTACCACCTCAGCCCTCCAGAGACAAGGATGCTGTCACTGTCAGGTTGCTCCCAGCACGTGGTCTTTGTGCCTGTGCAGTAATGATTTGGTAGCTTTCTGGTAATTTTGATTCCTGCTTTTCTGTGCATGTGTGTGGGTGTGCCAGTGTGCATGCACATGAGTATGCATGCATGCTTGTGGCAGCCAGAGGTCAAGTTGGATGTCTTCTTCAGTTGCTCTCCACCTTATTTTTGAGTCAGAATCTCTCTGGAGCACATCTAGGCTGGATCTAGTGCATCTAGGCTGGCTGGCCAGTGAACTGCAGGGATCCTCCTGACTCTGCCTAGCTTCCCATCCCCAGTTCTGGGATTGTCATGCACACCCTGCTGCCTGGCTCTTTCGTGGATAATGAGGATCCACTGAGGTACCAGATACCACAGTAACATGTGCAGCCTGGCTTTGAGAGAACTTGAACGTGGGGCCAACTAAGGGTCACCTCTTGTCCTGATACTTGGCAAAAGCATCTCCAGGCATCACGGGGGCTGAGCTGCTGCCTGTGTTTCCTGCCTCTCCCTGCACCCTTCTAGCATGAGGGCTTTGGGTCTGGGCCAGCTGGGTGGAATGGAGATGGCTAGCTACTGAGTCACTCTCTTGGGACAAGTTGGAATGGTAGCAAATGCTGATGTGGCCATGGGGTTGCACTCTTCCTCCAAGTCTCCCTCTGCTCAGACAGACAGAGCCTGGAGACATCCTGCTTGAGTCCACTCCTCCAGGGCCGTGGCATCACTCCTGCTGAGCCCCTTTGGGGTGTCCTAGACTCTCTTGGCAGACCCAGTCTTTCAGCCAGAAAATAACTGTCCCCACAGTGTCTAGAGCATCGGTTCCCTCCTTTCCTTCTAGACTTTCCCTAGGGAGAATGTGCCAGGCCTCAGCAAGTATCTAGTATCTACCCTGCCTCCTCAGAATGGAGGCTCCTGCTGTGCTGCCTGAGACTCTGTAAGGGGCTGAGTGCTGCCCTCAGTTTGCCCCCATCCCAGGATGAGGAACCAGAAAGGAGATCGCACTGTGTACAGAAAGCCACAAAGTCCCTAAGCTACTTCTATTCTGGGGACAAAAGACTCTGGCTGTTCTCAGGTGGATGGGTGACTTAAACTGTGGGACTGGCTCTCTCTAGTTCTTCTTACTCTTTACTCAATTTGCTCCTGGGACTTAGACAGAAATCCACAGAGGGTGGAGCCAGGAGACAAGTCCAAACAGTAGTGACTGTGTCATTGTCACCTCTCTAAAGGCCAGGGTTAGGTGATTGTGTCAGGCTTGCCTGTTTTCTCTTCACCTCCTTTAAGCGACCCTCCTGGTATGCCTTATCCACTTCATCCCACCCACTCTACCCATCCCCAGGGCAGCTCAAACTAGGGACCAACCAAACTCACCACCCAACACTGGTATAAGAGTGTATATGTGTGCATGTGTGTACGTATTCATGTATGTGCAGGTACATGTGTGCACAGGTACACATACGTATGGCAGCCAAAGGACAACCTCAGGTGTCAATCTTCAGGGATGCTGTTTATCTTTTTTGAGATAAGGTCTCTCATGATCTGGAGGTCACCAATTAGACTGGACTGGTTGACCAGCAAGCCCCAGGGATCCTCCTGTCTCTGACTCCATTTGGAGTACAAGCACTCAACAATAGCCAGCTTTTAACAGGGTTCTGGGCCTTGAACTCAGATCTCATGCTTGCAAAGCAAACACTTTACTGACTGAGCCATCTCCCCAGCCTTCAATTTCCATTTGAATTTACTTTGGTGTTTTCCTAGATTGCTTGCTACTTGTATTTCTTTTCAAGTAAACAGTTTTTGGAAAATGTATTCATTTGTATACTAGGTGACTGAATCTCCCTCCCCCAAATTACTATAGCCTGGGTGTTAGTGGTCTTATATACTAAATTCCAGAACCATCCATTATGTGTGAGGCTAAGGAATTTCAGGACAGTAGCTGGAGAACCTTTTACCCAGGATGCAAATATGTGCACAGCTTTCCACACCGGTGTCCAGAACGAGAAGTGAATAGATCTAAGTTGGGTTTTGATGCATTCCTGGGTGAGCACTGATGCCAGGGACTGTAGCTTTATTCAGAATCATAGAGAGGAAATTGCAGACTTTGTGTGCCAATCAAGGGCGGGATGCGGGCTAGAGGAACACAGGGGTCGTCCCTTGGGGCTTTTTTTATGCATTTGGAAGAAACATCCATGGTGTTGGACCTGACATTTAACCTTGGTCTTTCTTGGTGAGATCTTGCTTTGTTCCTTTCTCTTAGATCCCCAAATATGGAGGGTGGAGAGGCATGGGAAACCGGATTGCATCAGCAAATGTTTCTCATGCATTTACTTTGGGTGGAACGCCGTGGAAGAACATGGGGCCTTGGGCAGGAGGCCAGGATCCTGGTGATGGGGCCCCTAAGTCTTTCCAAGTCCCCTAGCAAGTTATTCTTCAAGTTTCTGCTTAGATCAGTGTCCTCATCTGCAGGCCAGGCTCAGTGGTGGCTTCAGAGTTTCCACATGGTCATCCTGATAGATTGGTGGAGAGGCTTTGGAGAGCTGGTGGGGAGAGATTGAGATTCCAAGGATGCCTTCAGTTTTTTTAGGGAGTACTGTGGTTGATGATCAATTGGTGATGCCTGCCCTGGAGCCTGGAGCCAGGGCAGGGAAATACAATGTGGCCACCATGCAGAGTTGGCCTTCTATATCTACAGGTTCTGCATCTGAGAATTCAAATGACAAATAGGTCAGAAACAGTTGGGAAAAAATTGCAATTATATTAAACATGTACAGACTTTCTTCCCTAGCAATATTTCCTAAACAACACAGTATGGACACTGTATATACATTGTTTTGTGTGTTATAAATAATGCAGAGATTATTTAAAATGCACAGAAGAGGCTGGGAAGATGGCTTAGTGGATAAAGCCCTTGCTATGTAGGCATGAAGACTAGATTTCAGGTCCTTGGAACCCACATAAGCTGGGCAGGCTTGGTGGCCTCTATAATCCCAGCATTTGGGATACAGGTGATCCCTGGAATAAGCTGACTAGCCAAAACATTGAGAGACCCTGCCTCAGTGAATAGAGACCCATTCAGGAAGACACCAGTGTCAACTTTGGGCCAGCATACACACACATACACACACACACACACACACACACACACACACACGCTCAAAAAAGTAAAATGTTCCAAAGGGTGAGTGTAACTTTGGTGTGTAATCTACACCATTTCCCTAAGGCCTTTGAGCATCTGTACATTTCAGTATTCGGGGAGTCCCTCCTGGAAATAACCCCCCAGGGGTACAGAAGGAAGGCTATATTTGATTCTCTTGGAACTTCAAATCTTAAAGATGCTCCTTTATCTTCAGGGCCCAACATTCTGGTTTAATCTTCCAAAGAGTCAGGTATCTCTGCCTAGCCCTCTAAAGAGCCCACTTCATGGGTCACTACACAGCCTAAGAACCTATCACAGGCACATCTGTGATAACATGGACAGCCTCACTGGTTGCTTGGTATGTGATTTAAAAAACAAATTGCCAGAGGAGTGAAATCAATAGTCTGAAGTTTGGGACGGAAACCTTTAGCCTGGTTGGTCATCCATTGATACACAGAGAAACATCACCTGGAAACTGGTGAAGGTGGCAGCACCCAAGCTTAGAACACCTGCCACACCCTCCCCAGGTAGGCGCTCTGACCCATCTTCAAAAGGCACTTTTTAAGGCCCCTTTAAAAGGAACAGAATGCACCTGGTTACAAAGCTGTGGGGTGGCCGATTGCTTCAGCCTCAGCAATGCTGCGTATTCCCAGGCTGCCCAGCTGGCTCTATTCTCATGAGAGTCACTGTAATGACCTAGGGAGTATGTCAAGGGCCCCTCTGGTCACCAGAGAGCCAGGCTCCTTGCCTTCCTCTGCTACCTGGCTTCTCAAGGTGGCTCCCTAGACATCTGAACTCCTGTGTATCTCTCACAAGGGTCTGGGGACATCCAACTGGCATCAGAGCCTGTTTGAGGGTTTGCTTAATCTAGTGTCTGGAAAACTTTTCAAAAATGAACCCAGAAACGTCACAGTGGGGTTTTTAGTGGGGTGTGTCACCACCCTCACTTGCTTGGGGAGACAGTGGTCAGACATAGTGGGAACCTTGCACTACAGTTCATCGAGACAGTGAGTTGGGGCTGGGCCGCACAAGGGAAGGCAGGTCGGATTAGAGGGAAAATCCTTTGAAGGCCTCGCTTGTTTGGAAAGCAGGTACTGTTCACTTCATTTAACAAAAGCCTTTCAGAAC